AGCCGTTGCTGGCTTGTGCGTTGTCTATCGCCTGGCCGCAACGAGTAGGAGGGACGTGGCGGTTGCGTCGAAGGCTTTGGGCGTGAGCCCAGCTGGAGCTTCCGTCAGTGCAGATCTCGGTGGTAGTAGCAAATATTTAAGTTCGATCCTTGAAGACTGAATTTATGTTGCTGTCGAGCTCTTGTGAGAAATGGTTGAAATTTATCCTTCTGCTGCGTTTGCTCTGTTGATGTTACTTAGTAATATCCCTCCATTCTTCGAAACGCATTTCTTGTATCGCTAGTATTATATTATGTATTATAATATATTCTACTCGAGGAACATTTTCCGTTGTTGAAGGTTGTTTTATGAAGCATCGAACTCCAATATTTAGGTCAGAAACTTTTCATGCTGTCAACTTTGTGCCTAGACAGGAATGCTTTTATGTGATGTATTTCGTTCACAGAAATCTGCTCGTTCCAGGAAGTTCTGAGGAAATTCACACAAAACAAGGTCAGTGTTTTTGGTTCTTTTTTCAGTACTTCTACTTACTTTTTTGCTAATGTTGTTATTTCTCAATCTCCTTTAGGAAAGGGGTGAAACTGACAAGTGGGGTCTTTCAGGGCAAGCCACGCTTTTTCAAAACGGTTTCTTGCATATTGTAGGGACGCATGTAGGGAACACAAAACCATGTTTCATTTTCGCTGAACGGTTTTAGCAGTACCAAAAAAGAAGCATAAGGTACTGTTAATGGTTCGATCCCCCGTGGCGACTAAATTTTGCATTTGGGTTGGCGCCTACGGTTTGGTGCCAAATCGCGCTAAATGTCAAAATCAGGCATATCAAATATTCGTCCTTTCCCCAGGGTTGGGGGACGAAAATCCTGTAAATTATTTGTTTGTAACCTTTAGTATTCTTCATTTTTCAAGCATGAAGGGTCTGACTACCTTTTTCTGATTTACATACGAAAGCCACTCAGGCGAGTTGAATACGAAAATCATGGATTTGTGGTATCACTTCTCAGTCCATTCCTACAATATGCAGGAAACCGAGTTTGAATAAGCGGGTCTTCCCTGAAGAGCCCCCTTAAGCGTGGGTAATGTGGGTTTGATTATCGATCGTTCCGGACTTGACGAGTTTCGATGATTGGATGGTCAGTGAGATAGTCCAGCCATTGTGCGATCACAGGTCGTCAACTGTCGTATCGAATTGTTGCGGAGGGGGGGTCGCATTTGTGTTCTGGGAGGGGAGAGGGGGTCGCATTGCGCAGTTCTGCTGGTTACGTTGGTCATCAGGGGCGCAGGGCATAGGTGCGTGCGAAAAAAGTTGCCGTTTCACTGGTTGTATATACCCCCGCTCGACGGCTATTTTGGGGAAAAGTGGGTGGAGTTTCGGAGTTTTAGGTAGGTTTTGGGCTGTGTCAACTGGTCTCAGAATCAAATACTATAGAAGAGGGAGAGGTCGCGGTGGGGGAAGGCTGGTTGTATTGGGGGGTCGCAAAAATCCCGAAAATGTTCGAACGTGACGGTTGACCCTGTGCGATCATTGCTGTCGGACGACCGGCTATGCTTGCGCCCATACGGCCCCACATTGGCATTAGAGCGCACAGGCCATCCTGCTGTAGCCAGACAACTATTTCATGTCACTCAACTACTACACTTCAGCAATTAATCAATATAAGAAATTGGATCTCACAAATCTCGTTTAACCTGAAAGATCGAAAAAAAGCGGATAGCTTGTATTGGCCCTACGCCAAGGGCAAGAGGAGTGGAATGGAGATGTGGTGCGCAGACGAGCTGTCGGCCACAGCTACCACGGGTTGTGCTCTCCAATGCCAATGGGATCGCACCACATGACGCACACCCGATTCGTGCTGTGCGACTGGAAGCATGGATACTATAGAGATATAAAGCTAACCCAAAGCAAGGTGCGCAACGTTGAGTTCTCACTTAACGCTGTAGAATTTGGTAATAATTATGAATGTGCGCGTCAAGGATGTGATCCCATTCTGGTGTTCCCGAACAAGGACGAAAAATGTGTTTCCGATCAAATAGAATTATGTTAGGATAGAGAGCCTTGGCAATTGAACTTGTGGGTCGTACGACTGCATGTAGCAGTTCCTAGGTTACATCTGCTTTTCTAGGATATCCAAATTTCCAGGCATTGTAACAGATAGGTCTTATTTTGCAGTTCCAGCTTTTCAACCATGCCGGCAAAGTGCGCAATCTGTCAACGGAGGCTGGCAAAGGCCCACTTGAGGAACATGCTCACTGTCAAAAATCACTAATGCTATCCTTGTTGGTTCGCTTTACGCATTCGGTTGTGCTTCTGCATCTTCTGCACAGTGTGCGTACATAGAATGCTTGAAATGGAAGAAAGTTGTATGCCATAGGCACTTTGTTCAGTCGGTAAGTTTTCCTTTTCCAAGTAGATTAAGTCAGTAGTTAAGTATCTCTTTTTTAGGCGCAATGTATGTGTACTGAAATGGCCTTAATGGGGAAACGCTATACGCCATTTGAAACAATTGGTGCCTACGTAACTCTGCTTGATATACCTGCTCATATTGTCGATCTCCTTAATGCTAATGGGAAGAATATAGGTGTAAGTCATACTTAGATTTGTAATGTACTGTCTTTCCTCTCAAATTTACCAGGTTAAGGTTGATGTTGAAATAGGAACTAGAGACGTGTGGAAATTTCTCAACGATGTACTGCGACGGTACTACGGTACCCCTCTGTGGATGGGGCCGGATCGAGGAGAGGTTCGAGAACTGCTGTCCTCATTCTATGTGTTTAATAGCTATGCAGTTCATCATTCAGATGGAGACAAATCCCGAAGGGAAAGAAGCTCCTCAGGATGTTGATCAAAAATACTCGGTTGAAGAGCTATTGCAAGGAGGGAGTACCGCCACTGCGAACGAGGAGGAGCATGACATCAAAGAAGTGATTTATGATATCTTCGAAGACGACGAAGAGTCGGTGGCTTCAGTAGAATCGGTGAGTCAATTGCAGCACTGTTCGCTTAGTACAAGCCTGCAATCAGTTTATTTGCATAACTTTCAGAGTGGTTCCGAGTACAAGCCCGAAGGACAAGTCGGATTCGGAGTACGAGCCGGAAGAAGAATCTGACCCTGACTCGGACGAATTTACCTTGACAAGCGATTACAAGTTTGCTAGCTGTACTAAGGAGACCGATACAGTTGCACTTGAGCGCAAGTTATCTTGTTGAAGGAGAAATGTTGATGGAGTTGTTCCAATTCTGTCCGAATTGCGGATCTAAACTGAGTAAAGTACAGCTGACGGCCGTCGACACTGTAGCCGTAGTAAAATACGCGTGCTCTGTTTGTGAGCCGTGCACGGAGATCAAACAGTGGGAAAGTCAAAAGACAACTGTTCCACACGAGAAAGAGGAGACGTACAAAACCAACGTGGCTGCTTCGGTCGCCGCTGTTACGACTGGCCTTCCGTTTATGGTGGGTTTTATTGTTATCAAATCCAATTTTGAGAAATTTCTTCAACTCATTAACAAAAAGTTCATCACTGTATTATACTTGCAACATATCTTTTATTAAATCTAACTTCCTTAAAGAAATATCCACATCAAGATAGCTTTTTTGTTGACCTGTTGGCACGCCTGTGCCGAAAAGTCGCTTCGGCTTGGCACTCCTCATTATACACGCATTTTCTTTTGACTAAAGGAGCGCGTTGATATATTGCCATGCTGAAGTCTTCCTGGGACCCTGGTTGAGGCGCTTTGTTGGTTTCCCTCCTATGATTTTTTTTTCTGTAACTGCGCCTTCTTTCGATTTTGTGATGCTCATATAAAAGCCTATCGATTCCAAAATGTCTGGGGTACTGTTTTTTTCCTACAGATGGTTCTAATTTTTATTTGGTTGACATATTCAGGATATCCAACGATGGGGGGAACAGTTCAAATTAGCGCTGCCGACAAGATCGTTCCTCTGGAAAGTTTTCGAGTGGATGCAGCCTGTCATCGAGAAAGTTTCTGTCTCTCATCAAACACCAGTACTGGAAGAAATGAAAATTCAGTACGAGGTAAATCTTGAAAATCAATTAATCGCTGTTTGTATTAGATTTTGGAATTTAGGGACGCACAGGTGTCCATGTGACGGCAGATGGAGCGTACGTCAAGCGGCACAATGTCCCTATAACGGGGAACATAGCGCTTGGTGATGGACGAAGCAAGCTGATTTTACATAATGAAGTGCTTCTTCAATCACGAAAGGGTGCATTCTTTTATCAGTACGTCTGATCAAATGGTAATCTCAAAGATTTCAGGAAATGGGAACCTTCGAGAAAGCGAAAACTTTCGGCGTGTGCTTGAAAAATTGTCATCGTCTGTCTCATCGGTTTCTTCCCTCACTTCAAACGACAGCCCTTTAGTTCAACCGCTTCAAAAAGAGGTGGAGCAGTTTGCCGGGTCCATCCGTCATTATTCCCCTGGATGTTATCTGTTGAAATGGTTTGAGGACGAACTTAGAAAGGTACGTAACCATCGAATGGAAATCGTTGTTGAAGATTAGAGGAGAAATATGTTGCAGGCTGCAAGTTATCATGATTGTGAGCAGATTGGGGCTTGGCACAAACGTATAAAAAACCATTTATGGCGTTGCATTGAATATGGAATAAATAACGGAGTGGATGCGGTTCCTATCTTCAATACGTGCCTGATGCATGTTAGAGGTGTACATAAATGGCCGGAGGTAAACGTGGTTTTTGAGAAATTTAGCAGCAGCCTATGTTGAGTGGTAATACTAGAAGTACCGTTTTTTTTTTCAGGAAAAACTGACTGGACCTTATACGAAGTGCTATCATGACCCTGTTTCAAGGCCATGTCACGAGTCACTCATGCTTGACGGCAAAGCCTTCCACAAGTTCGAAAACATTGTTCTGACAGAATCTTTCCAGCGAGATATTGCGAATTCAAGCCCTTACGGAGACATCGTAGTATACGATCTCAGAAAGGCCTTAGACCGATTTTACTGTCGAAAGGAAATCCAATAGTGAGTTCCAGGTTTTCCCCATATTGCGTGGGCTATTTCCTGCTTTTTTTTATATTTGACCTTTCCAGTCCTCTGTCGATGTATCCTTTTTGTTCACTATTGGCTACTATGCACGTAAATACGCGGACGATGTGGGAAGCTAAAAGAAGAAGGGAGCAGATACAAAAGAGACCGAGACATAAGCGGCTAGCCAAGAATTCTCCAACGAAACACACATGGAGGAAGTCCATTTTTGACGAAGTTCTGAAGGAGCGGCTTTTGGCTCTGGAAAAAAGCCAGAATGGTGATGAAACTTCAGAATACGTTCGTGGGCTGATAGCTGCGGATGAGTATTATGAGTGCAATTTGTAGATTTTTACGATGTTTTCATTTGCGTGATCTGTTTGTTTTTTGTTTTCATACGGGAAAAGATGAAGCTAATAAATTGTTCTGTTTGTGCTTAAAGGTACCTGAAAACTTGTTGACTTTCAAAGACCTTCTGCGCGGGTCCATGGTGCGGAGCCACGTATGATCAGTATTTGCCATCTCACAATGGGAGTAACGAAAGTTGTAAAGAATACTATTTGAACCGGATCTATGCCATTATTTGAAATACTAGTTGCAAATTGCCTTCTCACTGGTTCTGACGAATGAATACTAGATGTAGTTGTAGAGTTTTTTGGCTTTGTTTTTTCTTTAATGCTGATTAGAAAAAGGTCATATATAGCGCGGCTGTAATCAGCTGACGAAAAGCTTAGTGGATAATCGTTTGGACTTGCGCAAAAGAGGCGGGATCAGTTTCTTAATTAACACGTTGGCGACGATGTCGGTCAATGCTGACCGACAGGCAGTCTGTCACATGGGACGATGTCGGTCAATGGTGACCGACAGCTTGAAAGTAAGCAAACTTAGATGGAACCCGCGACTTTTCTATTTCAACGTTTACTTCAGTGTCCTAACTTACTACACTTGTCTGCGAATTATGATCTTTCTAATTCCTGGGAGTTTTATTCTGAATTAGTTATCAGTGGCAGAAACGCGCTGTCAATTGAATCACAACCACAAAGTTCCCACCGTCAGCAAACTGGAAATCTCACTAAAATTGTTCATATCGACCTTTACTAATTAGGTCACCGTCAGTAGAATGTCCATTTCTAGCCTTAGGTTCCCATGATGGTCAAGTAGGCTCAGTCTTACTCATAGGCAGGACAAAAGTACCTATCCAGTCCATCAACTGCCAAATATTTCACAAACAGTTTTTTGACCTTGAAATGACTCGTTTAAATCTCTTATTCGATCATGAAGAACAAGATAACAGTCAAACAAAAGCTCATTCCGTCAGGTACGCAAAGTTTTTTGCGTCATTCTTGAGTGAAAAATTCGTAGAAGATTTCAGATGTGATCAGGATACCAGTACCATCTAAAGGAAAGCTCATATTAATAATAAAAATGAAGAATGCGTGAAATTGCGCCTTCAGAACCTATTCTAACATGAGGTTTGAAAATGCCAGGCGATGTCACTGAAATTTCACCCAGCATTCAGTAGTAACAACTTTTCCTTGTTTCTAAACGTGTCTGGAGTACTCTAGTCAAAGGCATTTTGTGCATTTCGAGATTTTACAGAGCTATAAAATAAGTTTTGCCCTGTGTTACCGGCGCTTTGCATGCAAAAAACGTCTCGTCCCATGCGCGCGACAAGGAAAAAATCGCTCGTCGTCAACGTGTTAAGTATCTTCCGGGCCATTCTCCAAAGGGAGGATCGCAGAAAGAGGTTTTCGTTTTGAACTTCATTTAGACTATCTAATACGTTTTTCTGACGTTATGAACAAGGCTGTCTTTTACATCTTCTCGTCGTCGCTCAAAATTGGAGTATTTTTGAAGCCACACTCTGGAGCAGACTCAACCATAGCATTGTTCCTCGAAATTTTTCACGACCCCCCCCCCCTCTTTCAGAGATCTTGGTAGGACCACTCTTTCTCAAGGGGGTCTTTGTGTATGTGAACCTATAATGCCTCAGAAAATTTGTCTGTATCACATGATATTTTCAATTCTCAAACAGTAGAACACCAAAAGTAGAGAATAGGGGGATAGCAGGAAGGTTACAAAATGGGTGAAGCCTGGCTACTATTTTGAAAATAATTCGATCTAAAGAAGAGAAGCGAGCCCTGGGAAGAGAAGGACTTTTTAAGGTTTTTGGCACTATTTATCAGCAATCATCATTCGGTTTTGGGAATTAGTGCTGTCTAACGCATATTTTGCGCTCTCCTGGGTCCTCTCAGTCATAGTGCCTAGGGCTAAACTTATTGGAAAGGAGGAACCGAGGTGGAAACATATCGTGTGGCACAATATGAAGTGTATGAGATCACCGGTTGAGTGGATTGCTCACCTCTGAGCCCTCCTCTTCTAAAGGCTTAGTCCTGATCGCGATCTATCACTGTGAGGGCGCAAACGAGCGGAAAATAGGCGCCAAGTGACGCCAGCACCAAAATGAATGTCATATCTCAGATCAGGACACTGGAACCCCAACACTGAACTGACTTCTACCTAAA